TCGCTCGAGCGAAGGATTGGTCGCTCGAGCGACCAGACACAAAGAACCCTCGCTCGAGCGTAGAAAGCCTCGCTCGAGCCAACAATACGAAGCTTCAGGTCTGCAACCCAGAAGCATGCTCGAGCGACAGAATGCTCGCTCGAGCGGAGAAACTCAAAACATACACCTCGCTCGCTCGAGCCAAGAAATGGAACTCTCAGGTCCAAACCCAGACGTAGACGCAGACGCAGACGCACGCTCGAGCGAATAAACACTAGCTCGAGCCACCAGACACAAAACTCAACTCTCGCTCGAGCGAAGAAACCCTGGCTTGAGTGAAGGATCTAAAACGAAGACCTCGCTCGAGCGACAAAGTCCTCGCTCGAGCGAAGACACCAAAATCTGGGCAGCAACCATTTGTTTCAAAACTCACCAAACCTGTAACAAACCTGCCTAACACATCCTATAACTCAAATATGAAGAAAAAGGAATGTAAACAAGATAATAAACAACAACCAACATCCACGGACACATGTCCGGATCACTGTACAACAAGGGTAAACCCGGGATCGCTATAAAGTTTATCATTTATTTAAAAGGGTGAAGTCGACCTTTTAATCTTAATTATGTATTCACCTTAGCACATGCCAACATATAATTTTTTTTAAAAAATAAAATGAAATATTAATGCTAGCCAATCACACTGCCTTCAGTCAACTCTTTTTGAGAATTGCATAGTCAACTCTAAGGTAACGACAAGACTATGATTGTTCGAAGAAAGGCAAAACTCACAACCACTACAGGAAATAACTGTTTTGGCGACCAAAATATTGGTCGCCAAAAGTCTCATTTTTGGTCGCCGAATGTAATTAGCGAGTAAATTTTTTTGTCACCAAGTTCGTCGCCTATACCCTGTCGGCGATAGTATTGGCAACTAAACTATTTTTGGTCGCCGAAAGTTAAACATTTGGCTACTAAACTTTGGTTAGTCGGGAAAGGTGATCTTTTGGTGACTAAATTATTGGTCGCCGAAATTGAACTTTTGGCTACTAAACTTTGGTTAGTCGGCAAAGGTATCTTTTGGCGACTAAAATATTAGCCACCAAAAGTTCTCACAGAAAACTAAATTAAACTATTAGAGACTAAAATTTTAGTCACTAATAGAATACGTACATTTAGCGACCAAACACTTTAGTCGCCAAAGGATGTCATGTTTTTAGTGACTAAAATATTTAGTCGGCAATTAAACTTCCCTCATTCTGATTTGTTTTAGCTACTATGTGGTTTGGTCACAAAAAGCCATTTGGTAATTTTTTGCTACTAAATTATTGGTCGCCAAAACATTTGTTTATATTTTTGGCTACCAACATATTTAGTCACCAAATACTATATTAAATTTTTTTTTTTAATTTCTGAACCACCTGTATTCATTATTAGTGCAACCTGTACCAAGTATAAACAATATAATCTATCAATACTGAATATATTATCAACCATTCAACAACATGCACACATTTCACTTCTAACCATCCAAAACATTTATATTCAACGTCCAATTCTAAATGTAATACGAATTCCATACGAACCAAGTATAATTCAACCCCAATAATTTAACTCCATACATAATAGAGGATTAACCAAATTTAATATTCAAAAGGAAATCTATACCACACCAAATTCATCAAGCGTTCAAATTCAAATTCAAATTCAAATTCATCAAGTTTCGCATCAAATTCATCAAGCGTTCGCCACTTCTTGAATATGTTGAGACTGGCTTTTACTAGGTGGAATAAAAATCAGATCTTCCCAGCCGGAGTTCTTCTCACTCATCTGGCATCAAACAAGGAAACTAATAACATTTTTGCAATAACTTGTTCGTATCAAGCAAAAAGAATGACCAACTCCACAAATCCAGCATTCAGAACCTCTTACCTCCATTTTTTAAGAACATCTTCCAAACTTCCCACCTGTAGAAAGAAATAAAAACAATGACTATGCTAACCTTATAGCACCTGAGTTACAAATTAACTCCACATTTTTAGTTAAATAAGGAGAGAGAAACAATTTATAAAATTAAATCTCTCAAAGAAAAAGCCATGATTCAAAGCATGAAAACTGAGCTAAAATTTATCATAGGTCCTTTTTCTTGTCAAATTAAGAAATATTCTCTAGATTTCTTGAATGTCCCGGAACATACTTCTGCAACCCTGTTATACTGTGAAATATGAATTGAAAATAACCAAGTCCAACTCGGATATGATGCATATGAATATCTCATAGAAGGGTGATAAATTGGTGTTGCTGAGTGCAAGCACTTCTGAATGCTGCTAAGGTACATGACGAGTAAAAAATAATCAAACGATAAAATAGATATAACAAGAATATGGTCAAACCCAAGTAAACTCAAATCTCCAAACTTTTAAGAATTGTAAAATGTACTAAATTCTCTAAACTTAAAGAATTGTAAAATATTCCATTTTAGTTCAAACATAAAAACGTGAGTAGCGTCTACCTATCAATTCCAGAATTCTCTAACCCACTATTCTATAAAGCATGAGCAGTGTGTACCTATCATATATTTCTTGAATCTTCTGGAACATACTTCTGCAACTCTGTTAAACTGTGAAGTATGAATTGAAAATAACAAAGTCCAACTCGGATATGATGCATATGAATATCTCATAGAAGGGTGATAAATTGATGTTGCTGAGTGCAAGCACTTCTGAATGTTGCTAAGGTACATAATGAGTAAAAAATAATCAAACGATAAAATAGATATAACAAGAATATGGTCAAACCCAAGTAAACTCAAATCTCCAAACTTTTAAGAATTGTAAAATGTACTAAATTCTCTAAACTTAAAAAATTGTAAAATATTCCATTTTAGTTCAAACATAAAAACGTGAGTAGCGTCTACCTATCAATTCTAGAATTCTCTAACCCACTATTCTATAAAGCATGAGCAGTGTGTACCTATCATATGAAATTTCCATGCAATTCAAAACATATTTATCATTCACACACCGTGGTAAACGAATTTCTCCACTTCATCGACTTTGCTTTAACTATATTAGCAATGTTCATAAATGGTCGATTCATGATAACAATGGCCACTTTAGATGTTACCTAGGCATAATTTTCCATAATGTGATTCAATAATACCACATCATCCTTGTTCATCTTGTACCTCTATTCTCCTCTTCTTCAATGTGATTAACACTAACTTGGCTCAAAGATTAGTTGTTTAACACATTTGAAAAACTTGGCTCAAATTCTTAGGTTGTTACATTATTCCCCTGCACATTTTTCATTTACCTGATGTGTGTGCTTGTTGCTTTTTTGTTTGTAATTTAATAGTTATAATGTTATCATGTTATCATTTTAATTCTTCTATTTTATTTATTTATTTTTCTATTTAAAAGTCATCACATATGCATCCCTCTTTTTTGAATTATTGGGCTCCAGTTTTGGTTGTGACTTTTGATCACAAGTTCTTAGTTTTATTATCATTTAAAAATTAAACTTTGTCCTAAGAACCATTAGACTTTTGATCACTAGTACCATTAGATTTTGTCCTATGAACAGGGTGCATTCTCTGCATTCATATTCAAGATAAATATGCTCATCTACTTTGAGATTGTAAGAGAAACAATAGAAAAATAATGATATTCACACAACACTTTTAGCCTCACACTCCACTTGCAAGAGGCAAAGCACAAACAAAGGAGTGTGGTAAGCTTAAAGTGCAATATACATATCATTGCCATAAAAAAATGTTACATATAACTGATTAGAGCATGCATCATCAAGTCAAAAGAGAGAGAGTATTCATCAATCATGTGAGTTCCATAACCATACAATCTCTAGTAAGTTCCATAACATTACTAATACCAAGAGTTACATAACCAATGCTTTCCAACCTCAATACTTTATGAGATCAAACTCAAAATTCAAAAATCATTATATCAATGAAAACACTAGTATCTAGGTTCCATGCAGAATAATGAGTAGCACGATTCAGACATCACAACCAGCTCAAAGATTAAAATGGCATTAATTTTCTAGAAATTAAAGCAGATCCTTCAAAAGATGCCTCCGACTGCAAGAAAGCTCTACACATTGCAATATAGTACACCTAATGTTTTGATTTCCACATTATTGGCAATCATCTTGCCCTTTTATTATTACTAAAATAAGTTTAAAAAATTATGTTACCTTGTCTATGTTCTCAAACTTCCTTTCTGGCTATGGAGGTTGACCACCATAGCTTTGAGTTGGACATAGATTACCCTTTTAGAACTCATGCAACCCATGGCCTATATAATTCACAAAGGTTCTGCGCATCCAACAAATGTGACTTCTTCTAGAAAATTATGCACAATCACAAAATGACATAGCATATAATACAAGAGCAATTATGAAATAAGCAAGAGGCCTACATACCCCTTGGATTCTCTTTCCAGTAACAGACATTTGGGTCCACTGGCCCTCTTCTTGGTGCTCTGATACACCAACCTCCCTCCTAAATTCACACAAAATTTAGCTCAAATGAGAAAATTTAACTATCATTTCCACAATTCCCATAGCAAACTCGTAATTTATTTTACACATTATAGCTAAATCTTGTATTGAATTTGGCACAAAACTTAGTAATTCTAAAATACAACACAATGTTTATCTAGTCTTTGGAGAGTTCCAATTTGGCCTTGATCTTAATTTTTGACAATAACATCCATTGGAGAAGCTTCGTTTTTTTTTTCTTTATAAATCTCAAATAAAATAGGGAAATGGTCATTTTACAAAATATTTACAAATTCATAGAAAAGTTTATACCTCTAATAATTAAAGTTGGTAAAATTTACCATTATTTTGAAATTATTTTTGGAAACATACATTGATTTTCAAATTTCCCAATAAAATAAAATAAAGATGTAGCAAAAAGTGACCATTTATCATGTTTGCACTTGCTCTAGGCAGATAACACATTTTAGTAAATTCGTACTTAGCACCCTTTGTACTAAGCTAATAGCCGTTGGACATTTACCATTGCTTCGGAATATATATAAATCTAAGGGGCAAAATAGAGGGGAAAAAAGCGAGCCTTCTATAGCAAAGCAATTCTTATATATATATATATAGAGAAGCATACGCAAGACGGAGCATCAATGGAGTAGAGTTCATCTCAGCGATGAAGCCTCTGGATCTCGTGGCGGTGGCGGTGGATCTATGAAGATCGACAGAGGAGGAGGCGGCGTGAAAAGAGCGGCGGTACTCACGATGACAATGGCGGAGGAGGAGGACGTGCCCTAGTTTCCGGCGAAGGCGAGGAAGAGGGGCAGTGAGAGAGGGAGGGAAGAGGAGCAACGGAGATGGAGAGGGAGGCTGAAAATAGAGAGAGAGGGAGAGAGAGAGAGAGAGAGAGAGAGAGAGACGCTGATTATTTTAGGGTTTGGTTTGGTACAAAATATACATATATATATATATATATCATTTTATGCAATTCACGACTAAATACCTAATGGTCACCAATTAATTTTTGAAATCCATTCAAAATTTGAAAGGTCTTTGAAATATGTTATCTTTGGCGACTAAAATATGATTTGGTCGCCAAAGATAAAAGTAATTATTTGTTTTATTCGGCGACTAAAATTTTTAGTAGCCAAAACTAATTCTACAGCGACCAAAAAAACTTTTTGTCGCTGAAAATATATTTTTGGCTACCAAATTTTTGGTCGCCAAAAAATAAAAGTAAATTTTTTTTTCATTCGGTGACTAAATTATTTTGGTAGCCAAAAATAACTCTACAGCGACTAAAAAAAAATTTTGTCGCTGAAAATATATTTTTGGCGACCAAACTTTTGGTCGCCAAAGATAAAAAATAATTTTTCCCTTTCCATTCGGCTACTAAACAATTTTAGTAGCTAAAACTAGCTCTACGGCTAATAAAATTTCTTTTAGTCGCCAATTGTGATATGTTTAGCTACTAAAATTTTGGTCGCCAAAGATAAAAAATAATTTTTCCCTTTTCATTTGGCTACTAAACAATTTTAGTAGCTAAAACTAGCTCTACGGCTACTAAAATTTCTTTTAGTCACCAATTGTGATATGTTTAGCTACTAAAATTTTTTTCAGTCTCCAATTGTAATATTTTTAGATACTAAATTTTTTTTAGTCGCCAATAATCAACATTCCCCTACTAAAAAAAATTAGTAGCTAAATATTTCACTTTTGTTGACTAATATTATTTTTGGTAGCCAATTCCGTAACTTTTGGCGACTAAATTTTTTTTAGTCGCCAAAAATGATCGCCAAAAATGTATTTTCTTGTAGTGAACGTCCTAGTAGACCAGTCTCCATTGTTTATTTAAAGAAGAAGATGAAGAATTATTTATTAATGTAATCAAAAGGAGTTACAACCGAGGTCACTTGATCGTCTCCATTTCATAAAGCTAGCAGTCGTTCTTCCTGGTCCAGCCCTTTAATTTTGATAAATTACTGCATCAATCTTTTTTGTAATTAAATTTTTTTTTTTGTCAAAATTGATAGAAACCTCCTAGCTCATCAAAGTAAATTAAAAAATTAAATCAGTTAAAAGACTATTCTGTATCTCAATCAATTCATAGATTAACTAAATAATTAAAAATTCTTCAAAGAAGAAGTAAAATGTAAAAGAATTGAATCTCAATTAACCAGCTCAAATCTTATTTCAAAAATTAAAAATTTTGAAAGTCATTTGGAACAAACAGTCCGTTCTACTTTTTGTAGTACTTTCTGGCATAGGGAAAAAAAAGATGTAGTTACATTCTCTTATATTGAAAATTTTAATGAACGACAAATCCTTACTAAATCCAGTCTGATCCAAATGAATACCGAATTAATAGAGCTGTGCAAAAAAGAGATCAATGATTTGCTTAAAAATAAAATCATTAGTAAAAGTAAATCACCACGGTTATGCCCAGCTTTTTATGTTAACAAAAATGCTGAACTTGAATGTGGTATTTCACGTTTAGTCATAAACTATAAACCACTAAATAAAGTTTTAGAATGGATAAAATATCTTATTCCTAATAAGAAAGATTTGGTTAAAAGACGTAGTCAAGCAGTCATTTTTAGTAATTTCGATCATAAAAATGGGTTTTGGCAAATCTAAATTCAGCCTGATGATCGCTACAAAATTGCTTTTACTACACCTTTTGACCATTACGAATGGAACGTAATGCCCTTTGGTTTAAAAAATGTATCTAGTGAATTCCAAAATATAATGAATGAAATATTCAATCCCCTTAGCCATTTTCAATAATCTACATAGATGAAATTCTCATTTTTTCCAAATCAATCGAAGAACATTGGAAACATCTCCAGTCATTCATCGAAGCCATCTAATATAATGGCCTAGTAATCTCTACCCCCAAAATTAAATTGTTCCAAACTAAAGTCAAATTTTTAGGTTATGAAATTTACCAAAGTACTATTCTTCTTATTAGTCAATCTATTGAGTTTGCTTCTAAATTTCCTGATGAAATCTTAGACCAAACCGAATTACAAAGATTTTTAGGATCCCTTAATTACATTACTGAATTTTATAAAGATCTTAGAAAAACTTATCAGCCTCTTTTTGATCATTTGAAAGATGATCTTCCTCCTTGGTCTCCTAACCATACTACTATTGTCCAACAAGTAAAAAATTAAGTCAAGACTTTACCTTGTCTTGGTATTCCTATTGAAGATTCATTGAAAATTATTTAAATTGATACCTCTGGCATTAGTCATGGCATTCTCCTTCAACGATTCCATCTGAACAAATTGTTCGTTTTCACTCTAGTATCTGGAACAAGGCACAGAAAAATTATAGTGCTATTAAAAAAGAAAATTTATCTATTGTAAATGTATTAGTAAATTTCAAGATGATATTTTAAATCAAAGATTTCTAGTACGCGTTGATTGTAAAAGTGCAAAACATGTTTTGGAAAAAGATGTTCAAAACATTGTTAGTAAGCACATTTTTTCCTGTTGGCAATTTATTTTAAGTATATTTGATTTTGATATTGAATATATTTCTGGTAGTCAAAACTCTATCCCTGATTTTCTTACCCATGAATTTTTACAGGGTGGATGTAACACGTCTGCGGGGGACCTCGCTACAGTTCGGACACTCGATTTGTGTCACGGTTCTTAATCTGAACCAAAGAGTCCAAATCTGGCAAATCATTTTGAGAAACAGATTTTTTGAAAAGTAGTGCCAAACATGGACTGCTTTGCTAGATACAGAGTCGCCACCTAAATATTTTAAAATGGGAGAATTTAGGAAACCCTAACTCGGTGCCGAAGGCCACATGTCCGTCATCACCGGAGTTGTCTCGGCTCGGGAGCTTGGGTACGATCGGGGAAGGTCAGCTATGAGCACCCCCTTTCGCCCGGTCCGACGACCGGCCTCTACTAACCATGATATCCGATTTTGAAAACATTATGTGTTCTTCTTCCGATTATTAGCCTAGAATTACTATGTTATGCGCACAGCAAACAAGTATAGACTAGATTGCCTAATTTGGAAACAAGCATTGTATATCCATTTGTTTTGAAAAGCGCTTTGGAATTTGCTACTCGCAAGTAGGCTAAAACACAGATTTCAACGAGTTTTTCCAACTCAAACAATCCAACCTCCACCCACAGGCATTCAAACATTTTATATCACGTAAGCATTTAGCCACATGGCAAGCATACTGTCATGGCAACACTCACACGCATGCGGGATGCTAAAGCATAAATACTTACATCGTACTCCGTGCCAAAACGATAAACTAGTTAGCAAACATGCATGTCCTAGCTCGTGTTAAGAATGGCTAATGCATCGCATGCAAAAATGCAATCTAGACAGGCTCGGTTAACCTAAACATGGCATGTGAAATGCGATCAACTATCACGTATTCAATTTCGAATTGAGGCACAAATGCAGTTAGCGTGATGTACCGAGCCTAGTGCATGCAACACAAATGTATGAATGCACGCATGCATAGCATAAGGTATGCTAATTTAGACGTGCCCTAATCTACCATCATAAGCAGGTAAATAAAAGGGAGAAAGAAGTGGGGATTGGAAGACATACACACCACTCACACACACTTATTACAGATTTACCCTCGCCCGGAGGGTCCGAATAAATAATACAAATTAATTAACTACGTGAGCTAATTAAATATTACAAATTGCCTAATCAACTAAACAAATTAGCTAATCTAAGTAAAGCAGTAAACTGCCTCGGGAGGAGAGCTCGATGCAATGCACGCTCGGTCCTACTCGGAAGTGCACCGCC